AATTTGGCCCCTCAGGTGAGTTATCCAGGTACAAGGCCCGTTGGGTGGTTCGCGAGACCTTCAACCCCGTTGTCAAGCCCGCCACTGTTCGTATCGTCCTCAGCCTTGCTCTGTCTCGTGGATGCCCATTCACCAACTTGATGTCAAAAATGCGTTCCTCCATAGTCAGCTACAGGAGACCGTTTATGCCAGCCAGCCTTCTGGGTTTCAGGATCCTGCTTGCCCCCATTATGTTTGCAAACTCAAGAAGGCTCTTTATGGTCTTAAGCAAGCACCACGCTCTTGGATTTCACAGGTTTGCAGGTTTCATACAGACTATTGGCTTCCGAGGATGCAAGGCCGACACTTCCATATTCATCTTCTCTCAGCCCATGGGCACGGCCTACCTGCTTCTATATGTTGATGACATTGTACTCACGGCATCCTCCCCGGCACTGCTTCAAAGTCTCATTCAGCAGCTCAAGGCTGAATTCTCCGTGACACACATGGGTGACCTGCATTTTTTCATTGGGATCAATGTTCAGCGCACAGCCACCGGACTCTTCCTCCACCAGACTCAGTTTACTCATGATATCCTTGAGCGGGCAGGGATGGTCTCTTTCCGCCCCATCTCAACCCCGGTGGACACGAAGGCAAAACTATCTAGCACAGCTGGTTCGGCGCTCTCCGACCTGTCCTTTTACAGGTCCATTGTTGGTGCACTGCAGTACCTCATCTTCACTCGTCCCGATATCACATATGCAGTTCAGCAGCTCTGCCTACACCTCCACGCTCCACGCGATGCACATCGTACCGCCATGAAGCGTGTCCTTCGCTATCTCAGTGGTACTACCACCCACGGGATCCATCTAACATGATCCGCCACTGATTTCTTACAGGCATACTCCGATGCTGACTGGGCTGGCTGTCCTGACACTCGACGCTCCACATCAGGTTACTGCGTTTTCTTGGGCGATAATCTCGTTTCCTGGTCCTCCAAACGCCAGGCCACCACCTCTCGCTCTAGCGCCGAGGCAGAATATCGGGTTGTTGCTAACGCCGTTGTAGAGACCTGCTGGATTCGGAATCTTCTTCTTGAGCTGCAACAACCACTCCGTCGCGCCACACTCATCTTCTGTGACAATGTTAGTGTCGTTTACCTGTCATCAAATCCGGTGCAACATCAGGGCACCAAGCACGTCGAGGTTGATATTCACTTTGTACGCGACAAAGTGGCGCTTGGCCAGATCAAAGTCCTTCATGTTCCTTCGTCCTCTCAATTCGCTGATATCTTCACAAAAGGACTTCCCTCTCTCTTATTTCTAGACTTCAGAGAAAGCCTGGGCATCCGACCGCGAGCACATCTGACGTAGCCGGGAGCATGTTAAATATATAAAATATATTTAATATCCGACTTCAGTTACTTATGAGTTGTCACAAGCATTGCAAAGAAAGGAGCTGGATCTTACAAATGCAATTGCTTTAGTGAGAACTGCGAAAGTTAGTTTGAGAAACTTGAAGAGTGTTGGTTTTGAAAACATACTTGATGTGACAATGGAGTTTTGTAAGAAGCAAGATATTCATATTCCAAATATGGGAGACTTTTATCACCCAAAAGGAAGATCTAGGCGAAATGCATACACTTTCAAATTTTGGGAGTATTTGAAGATGAAGTTGTTTGATAATGTGATTGACCAACAATTTCTTAAATTGGATGATCGTTTTGACAATGTCAACACAAAGTTAATTGAGTGCTTGAGTTGCCTTAATCCGAGGAATTCATTTCTTGCATTTGACATGGAGAAGTTGGTTGAGTTTGCTATATTTTATCTGATGGAATTCGATGAGTTTTGCGAGCTTTCTTTCTTATCCTCTTATCTTGAAACTTTTATTCTTGATGTGAAAAGCGATTAAAGTTTTGCTAATTTGAAGGGAATTGGGGATCTTGCTCAAAAAATGGTTGAGAAGCAAAAACATATTGTTTATCCCATGGTTTATTTGTTGGTGAAATTGGCTTTGATCTTACCAGTTGCAACGGTGAGCGTGGAACACGTGTTTTCAGCAATGAATTTGGTCAAAGATAAATTACGCAATCGAATTGGGGATGAGTGGTTTCTTGCTTGTATGTTAACTTATGTAGAGAGTGAAACTTTTGATAATGTCAAAGATGATGATATCATGCCATATTTTCAAGCAATGAAGCCTAGAAGAATGATTTTGTAATACTATTGTAATATGACCTTTTGCGGTATAGTTTAATATTAATACTATTTCGTATTTTATAGTTATTCTCTAGCTTTTAATGTTTTTGACACCACTGCTTAGGTTGTCTAGGTCTGCCCCTGGTTGCGGGTGGGGGCTGGTCGTGGGATGGGATGGATTTCCTGGCGGGTTAATGTGAGGTTGGGTGGGGGTGATTGGTTGGGCGAAGGTGATAGGGGATTGGGCATGGGTTGCGGGACGGGCATTGTGAGCAAGCAAGTGCCCTTTAGACGAACTAACCGGAAAGATTGGGAGACCTTCGATAAAGGAAGAGGTAGACACAAGAGTGATGTATGAGGTGGAGGAATAAGGAAATTGTGTTTCTTGAAACTCGATATGACATGCCACATAGACACGCCAGACCTAAGATCGTCACACCAGTAACATTCTAAAAAAGATTCATACCCCTAAAATATACATTGTGTGGATCGAGGTTGGAATTTTTGGTCAATGAGATGGCGCTAACATTGGTAGGCAATGCATCCCGACACATGAAGAATTTTATAGTCAGGAGAGGTGTGACAGAGGGCCTCGTAGGGGGGAAATATTTTGGAGAGAACGTTGTGGCATACGAATGATACGATTGATTAACAAGTTTGCAGTAGCCAACACCTCAACCTATAATTTAGCTTGAAGGGATGCCATACAGAAAAGAGTGACAAGGGTTTCGACTAGGTGGCGATATTTGCGTTCAGCAACACTGTTCTGTTTAGGTGTGTAAGGACAAGATTTTTGGTGTAGGATCCATATCCCTTATAAAAACAGACCAAATTTTTTATTTACATATTCACATCCATTATTAGTACGAAAAATATGAGTATCTTTACGAAACAGATTTTGTACCATGAGCTGAAAAGCGTCATAAACATCAGCCTTATTTTTAAGAGGATAACACAATTATTTAAAAAAGTACTGTTTTAAAAATGAAATGTTTTAAAATTTGAAGCAATGTTTTTTTGTAGATGAAGCAATGATTTAACTTAGGAAAAAATTTAAAAAATGTGAAAAAGAAAATAATATGGGAAAAGGTTTTAAAAAATAATAGTTTGTTTTTTTAAATCATCATTTTTTACAAATTTAAATCAATGTTTTTTCATTAAAAAATCAAAGTTTCCTCTTTTTCTCAACAGTTTTTTTTATTTTTTTATAGAAAAATTTTTTGCAAATTAAATTATGATATACATAGGCTCCACCAACTGGTAAACTTTAAACCGGCACTCTTCAAAAATGCAATGGAAATCATCAACTTAGGACATGGGCCTTCATAATCACCCATTAAACCCATCTAGGGTAAGTGAGTTGATAGAACTAAAGAAGAAACAAGAGATCAAAATAAAATTAAAATAATTGTCAATTTCTTTCTGATCTACAGCTCATCGTGAGAGCCGCCGCCGCCGCCGGCAGATCTTTGGTAGACGGCGGAAACAATGGGGTTGCAAACCGCCTCAACCTCTTCAAGCTTCTCCACAAAGTCCTCTTTCTCAGCAGCACCACCACTCCGGCCGCCGTCCTGCAGCCACTCCATGGCCTCATTCAAAGCAATCTCCATCTTCTCCTTCTCCTCCGACTCCAGCTTATCCCCAAACTCCTCTTTGTCCTTCATCCTGTTCTTCATGTTGTACACATAGCTCTCGAGCCTGTTTCGTGCATTGATCTTGTCCTTCCACTTCTTGTCTTCCTCCGCAAACTCCTCCGCCTCGCGGACCTTGCGCTCGATCTCCTCTTCACTCAGCCTGCCATTGTTGATCGTGATCTTCTTCGATCTCCCGGTGCTTTTGTCTTGGGCTTTCAAGTTCAGAATGCCGTTCGCGTCGACCTCGAACGCGACTTCGATTTGCGGGATTCCCCTCGGGGCGGGGGAAATCCCGCTCAGCTCGAAGTTGCCGAGAAGTGTGTTGTCCTTGGTAAGACCTCGTTCGCCTTCGAAAACCTTGACCGAGACGGTTGGTTGTTGGTCTTGGTATGTGGTGAAGACTTGGGACTTTCTCGTCGGGATCACGGTGTTCCTGGGGATCAGTTTGGCCATCACTCCACCCGCGGTCTCAATGCCGAGGGTGAGTGGAGTGACGTCCAAAAGAAGATAATCGCCACGTCCCGCATCCTCCCCGCTTAGAATGCCACCTTGGACCGCGGCACCATACGCGACCGCTTCATCCGGGTTCACTCCCTTGTTAGGCTCCTTACCATCAAAGAAATCTCTGAGGAGCTCTTGGACCTTGGGGATTCTAGTGCTCCCACCAACAAGAACAATCTCATCGATCTCGTTCTTCTTCAACCCTGCGTCTTCCATGGCCTTCTTCACGGGCCCCATAGTCCTCCTGAATAGGTCGTTGTTCAACTCCTCAAAGCGAGCGCGAGTCAATGGCTCAGAGAAGTCAATGCCATCGAAGAGCGAGTCGATTTCGACTCTGACTTGGTGTTGGCTACTCAATGCCCTCTTCGCGCGCTCGCACTCCCTCCTCAGCCTACCCAGAGCCCTGTAGTCCTTGCTTATATCCTTCCCATGCTTCTTCTTGATGAGCTTGATGAAGTAATCCATCACCCTCTGATCGAAATCCTCGCCTCCAAGATGGGTGTCGCCGTTGGTGGCGAGAACCTCGAACACACCGTGATCGATCGTGAGGACACTGACATCAAATGTGCCACCACCAAGATCAAACACAAGGATGTTCTTCTCGATAACGCCACTACCGCGTCTCTTGTCGTCGTACACGCCGAGTCCATAGGAAATGGCAGCAGCAGTTGGCTCGTTGATGATTCTCACAACGTTAAGCCCAGCAATCGCACCCGCATCCTTCGTGGCCTGCCTCTGCGCATCGTTGAAGTAAGCGGGGACAGTAACAACGGCATCCTTAATCTTCTTCCCAAGAAAACCCTCCGCTGTCTCCTTCATCCTTGTAAGAATCATGGCACTGATCTCCTCAGGGCTAAAGACCCTAACATCCCCATTACTCACTTTAACTTCTACGTAAGGCTTCCCGCCCCTGTCCACGATCTTGTACGGAACCAGCTTCATGTCCTTTTGAACCTCCTCGTCGTCAAACTTTCTCCCAACAAGTCTCTTCACATCAAATACCGTTCTCTCGGCGTTGACAGCGGCCTGGTTCTTCGCAGCCTCGCCGATCAACCGCTTGTTGTCGGTGAACGAAACCCACGATGATCGTTCGCTATGATTTCGACGTGGCCGTTCTTGAAAACGCCCACGCAAGAGTAAGTCGTGCCGAGATCAATGCCAATCACAGTGCCTGCTGGTTTGGGCGCCTCCTCCTCCTTTGCAATAGCCATGGCTAGTAGCAGACATCCCATGCAAAAAAAGACATTCGCTAGGGCGGCGCCAAAGAGGGAGCCGCAGCTTGATCGCTTCCAAACTACGGCGGCCATGGCATGGGTTTGATCGTGTGTTATATGATTATATATGAAATATGGGTTTGATCGTATATGGTATATATAGACGTTTTTATAGAAGAGATTAAGAGAATTTCCACGCAATAATTACTTAGTTATATAGTTTGTGACAATGGTTGAGATGTTCTAGCCAATTAGGATACACCATGTGGCCCTTCAAGAATAAATTTCATATATTTTTTTTTTAAAAAAAGTTTACGGAGTAATAATTTGTTTAAATTATATTTTGAGTAAAATATGCTTATACGGATTATTATTTAAAATTTGAAATAATTATATAGTGCATGACAATGGGTGAGATGTTCCACCCAATTAGGATGCCCCACATGTGTATTCCACGCATGCGCATAAAATATTTTATTTACTCTATTTATAAAATAAAGTGTTAAAAGTTTTTCTTCATTGTCACTTATTTTTTAAATGCATAAAATTATTTTAATAATTTAAATTTATTAGACAATAATACTAATATTACTTCTAATACTGGAGGTATTAGTTATGTTAGTGTTTGATTATTAGTCAGCTTCTTATTCCTATTTATGGTAGATGTTGTATTTTAATTAGTTTTCATTCTCAATTTCTAGTTGTATTAGTAGTTTCTCCTATATATACTCTATGATGTACTCCACAATTCAATGAGCAATATTATTCCAATATTTCAACAAAAATTTTATATAAACTGTATATGTTTTAAAACAAATATACTCTCTCCGTCCCTGAAAACCTTTCTCCTTTCTTTTTTCATCCGTCCCTAAAAACACTTCTCATTTCTATTAAAAAGTCACTTTTACCCCTTACTTTTTCATACTCTACCTATCACATCATACCTTTTTACTAATAATCTATCCATCAAATCATGGGTTAAGAAGTAAAATAGGAGTAAAACATTGATTAAAATCCAAAATAGGAGTAAAAACATAAAACCCCCAAAATAGGAGTTGTTGACTCACCGTTTGCCGCCGCCAAGATCTGCCACTTTCATCACCCCTTGCTCCTGTTATCGTCGCACGTTGTCGGCATCACTAACCCCCACAGGTGTAGTGCCATGATGTTACATGGAGAAAAAACAATACATACACTGTCAATCGAAAATACAATTCTAAAAATGATAACATACAGTGACAAACATTACATTGTAAGATGCAAAAATACAAAATTTTAGGTCAATTGAAAATAAAATACCAAATATGTCAATGCACAGTGACAAACGTGGCTATGCAAAATGCCAAAAGTTCAATTGTACTCGGTGATACATTTGCATGCATCGAGCCCACGAAGTCATTAATTGTAAGAAGAAAACAATTAAAATAAACAAACACACAATCTCTCCATTGTTAGGTCTATGCCAGAAAAACAAAAAAAAATCCACCCCACCAATAATAATAAAAAAAGAATCCCAAAAAAAGAAAAAAGAAAACAAATAGAAAAACTTTGGATTGAAAAAGTAATAGCCCTAGCCATATATTAGCATCTACTATATGCATGCATGAGACTCATGAGAGTTATCATTAGTCAAAACATTGTGAGCTCTAGTGTCATCTTATTTAATTTGCGCGAAGTCAGTGAAAGGGTGGCTCCCGGAGGCTAAACAATTGTACAACGAAAATATTTAATTACTCCTACTTAGAAGAGTTTAAGTTTGAACTCCTACTTTAAAGATATAACATATGTTTTACTCCTATTTAGGGGGTTTTCTTTCAAATCACACTTTTACCCATCACATCAAAGGACATTTTTGGAAATTCAATACCAAAATACACTCTCCTTAAATCCCTCTTCAAAATCAAAACTCCCATATTTTCCGGGATGGAGGGAGTATTATATATATACCATGTTTAAAACTATTCTTCATTTAGTTCATTTTATTACTTTTTCATACATGCGCATCTTTATTTAAAGTGCTTGTAGAGAATAGTTTGTTAAAATAGTTGTTAGTTGGTTACGAGTCTGTTATGGTAGTTACGGAAGTTTTAGATTGGTTACATCCCAATCCATTCCTGTATAAATATTTGCTGGTACTCCTTTCTTTAGTTGAGAAATTCTGTTTTCATCATTAAATCATCTCCTTGCTTTTCCGTTCTTCTTCTCCACGCTTCCAAGCGTTTTCATGGTATCAGAGCAACCTGTGATAATTTTGACGAACAGGTGAGTTGCAACAATGGCGAACAATGAAGAGCAATTGGCTTACAGGCACGATCCCCTGTTTCTGCACAATTCCGACCATCCAGGGATGGTTCTCACTACGACGAAGCTAACAGGAATGAATTTCATTCCATGGAGCCGATCAATCAAGATAGCCTTGATCTCCTAGATGAAGATAGGATTCATCAATGGAAAATGCAGAAAACCAGATCCAGATGATCCAAGCTATGCGCAGTGGGAGCGCTGTGACAACATGGTCTTCAGCTGGATTCTAAATTCAATACAATCAGATCTAGCAGAAGCCTTTCTATATGCGACATCATCTGAAGAACTATGGAATGAGCTGGAAGAGAGATTCGGTGAAAGCAATGGACCTCTGATTTATCAAATCGAGAAGAAGATCACAGATATAAGACAGAATAATGATTCTGTTGGTGCGTATTTCACCAAACTCAAGAAGCTTTGGGACGAGTTGGCTAATGTAACTGATCCAGCAGTTTGTGAATGCAATGGATGCACATGTGACGCCAAGAAGAAATTGGCAGAGGCTGAACAGAAACGAAGACTGATCAAGTTTCTGATGGGCCTCAATGAAGGTTTTGACACCATCAGAGGCCAGATAATGCTCATTGAACCTTTGCCAACAGCCAGTAAGGCGTGTAGCTTAGTTCAACAAATTGAACGACAAAGGAATATCAGTGGAATTCAGACACTTGGTTCTTAATATGCAGCGTATGCTGGGACTGATAACATTGATTCTCACAATATGGCCTTGTATGCTGGGAAAGGACCTGGCCAGAGGCAAAATGGATACAATAAGACAGATCCAAGGAAGAACAGAAGAATGTGTGAATACTGTAAGGAACCTGGACATTTCAAGGATCAATGCTTCAAATTGATTGGATATCCTGAGTGGTTTAAAGGTCCAAAAGGTAAGAAGGGACAAAATTCAAATGGAGGCACCAAGTTTGCAGCACACACCACAACACAAACTCAAGAAATGCAGTATGACACACCTCTGGAAGACATGGGCAGTCAGAAGGGAGAAGGACACATTGTTCAGAATAATCCTATGTTTATCCAACATGTGGCTCAAAAAATGATGAGGATGATGTCTGATAGATCTTCTACTTCTGCAGAGAACGCTACTCTGAATGCATATGCTCATCTTGCAGGTAAGTTTTGTACCATAGCCTCTATTGTGTTGGATTCACATAGTGCTGAAATTTGTTGTGTTGGGAGGAACATAGTTGATTGGATTGTGCATACTAGAGCTTCAAACCACATGACTCCTTTTGAAGATATCTTGTTTGATGTTTACGAATTGCCTAAACCTATAACAGTTACTCTGCCTGATGGTAACCACAAGGCTGTAAACAAAGCAGGAAAGGTGGTTTTGTCTAGTAGTCTGATTCTGATGGATGTCCTTTATGTTCCTGATTTTCGATTCAGCTTAATATCTGTAAGCAAAGTGATTGATACTCAAAGGGTCAATGCAGTGTTTCTAGCTGATGAATGTGTATTTCAGGACCCTTCAACTAAGCAAATCATGGCAACTGCACCCAGAAGTCATGGCTTGTACAAGATGAGGATAGAACACAAGGACAATACTGAGTTCAAGAAACATGGAATGACTGCCAACACTTACACTCTTGAATTGCTACATGATAGATTAGGACATACATCCATGTCTAAAATGAAACATATATCTGGTTGTAGTGTTGATGATCAACACAAGTTTCATTGTGATATTTTCATGCTTACAAAGTTCAATAGACTCTCTTTTCCTCGTAGTACTTCAGTCACTACTATTCCTTTTCAGCTCATTCATATTGACTTGTGGGGTCCTTATAAAAGGCCAAATATTACTGGGGCAAGATTATTTGTCACAATAGTAGATGATTATACTAGGGGAACTTGGACACAGTTGCTGCATAATAAGGAGCAAGTTAAAACTGTTGTGTCTATTTTTTTGGAGATGATAGAAACACAGTTTCAGAGGAAAGTCCAGTGTGTTAGATCTGATAATGGGACAGAATTTTTGAAATCCACTTGCGCTGAAGTCTTTGGAAGGAAAGACATTATTCATCAGAGATCCATGGTCAAAACTCCACAACAAAACGGAGTTGTGGAAAGGAAACACAGACATCTTTTAGATACAGCAAGAGCAGTCAGAATAAATGCTCATTTCCCTAAAGTGTTCTGGGGGGAATGTGTCCTGGCAGCAACACACATCATTAATAAGCTTCCAGTGGAAAGATTGAACTGGAAGACCCCCTTTGAGCTACTATACAATAAGAAGCCTACATATGATGAGCTGAGAGTAGTGGGTTGTCAATGTTTTGCAGCAAACCTTCACAGAAAGAATAAATTTGATAATAAGGGGATCAAAAGTGTTTTACTGGGATACCCTTTTGGTCAAAAGGGGTACAGATTGTATAATCTGGAGAAGAAGGAAATATTTCACAGCAGGGATGTTATATTTCAAGAACACATTTTCCCTTTCCAACAGGTCCATTTTGATCCCAAGGACACTTCTAGCTGCCTGCCAGTACCAGAAGTTGAAGAAGATACACAAAATCCTGTGTGTGCAGATAATCTGAGCATGCATTCTGAGAATGCTCAAGTTCCTCAGCCAACACACTCAAAAGAAGTGCATCCCAATAATATACCAACAACCATCATTAATGATGATGTTGTTTCTCAGCAGGTCAGAAGATCATCCAGAATTAGTGCACCTCCTATTTGGATGAAAGACTATGTTCAACCTGCAGTAAAGAAGGTGGCATCAGTTTGCTCTTCCCAAACCTTTAGCATGTTTGCTGCCTCACATGGATTGGTGTTTGCTGACTTGAATTACCACTCAACAGCTTTTCTTGTCTCTTTAGAAAAGGTTGTGAATACCCCAGAACCTTATTATTACTCACAAGCGAAGGACAAGCCTGAGTGGATAATGGCTATGCAAAAGGAACTGACTGCTCTAGAAGAAAATCACACATGGGAGTTGACACAATTACCACCTGGAATGAAACCACTCACTCCAAAATGGGTATACAAAATTAAATACCTGCCTAATGGTGAAATTGAAAGGTACAAGGCTCGGTTGGTGGTTAGAGGATATGACCAAATTCCAGGCAAAGATTACAAAGACACTTTTTCACCAGTGGCTAAACCCACCACAATCAGGCTCTTGATTGCTTTAGCCACTGCCCAAGCTTGGCCTCTACACCAATTGGACATAAACAATGCTTTTCTTCATGAATTCATTAATGAAGAAGTATATATGGTTCCTCCACCAGGTTATACTAAGGCCAAGCCTGGAGAATTTTGTAGATTGAAGAAGTCCCTATATGGTCTCAAGCAAGCTTCAAGACAGTGGAATGAAGAGTTATCCCATTTTCTTTCATCTTTGGGTTTTGTCAAATCCAAACATGATCATTCCCTTTTCACTAGACGATCACATGGAAAGTTCCTAGCACTTCTAGTGTATGTGGATGATGTCTTACTAGCAGGAGAGGATGAAGATCAAATCAAAGAGGTCAAAGGTCATTTGCACAGCAAGTTCACTATCAAAGACCTGGGGCTGGCTAGGTACTTTCTGGGAATGGAGATTTCCAGGTCCACAAAGGGAAGTTTCTTAAATCAAAGGAAGTATATCCTTGATTTACTTACTGATGCTGGTGTTCCTACCAACGCCAGTGCCCCCTATCCTTTGCCAAGATCTCTGAAGCTTTCTCAGGATTCTGGCTCACCTCTTGCCAAGCCTGAACAATATCGAAGGATAACTGGAAGACTGTTATATCTGGGATTAACTCGCCCAGATATTTCTTACTCAGTCCAACACTTATCTCAGTTCATGCAGATACCCACAGATGAACACATGAAGGCAACATACCATGTTCTTTCTTATCTGCGCAGCACTTACAACATGGGCCTGTTTTATCCTTCAAAATCTGATCTACGCATCAGAGGGTTTTGTGATCCTGATTGGGCAGCATGCAAAATGAGTTCCAAATCCTTGAGTGGGTACTGTGTCTTCCTAGGACCATCCTTGATTTCCTGGAAGACAAAGAAGCAGAAGACAGTTTCAAAATCCTCTGCAGAAGCTGAGTACAGAGCTATGTCTGCTACTACATCCGAGTTGGAATGGATCAGTTACATTACAAAGGATATGTCTATTCCACCACAACTCCCTATTCATCTCTTTTGCGATAACAAAGCAGCTATACATATAGCCGCAAATCCTGTTTTCCATGAGAGAACGAAGCATCTCAATATTGACTGCCATTATACTTGTGACAAGATTTCAGAAGGGTTCTTGCAAACTGCTTTTGTACCTTCCCGTTTGCAGTTGGCTGATGTTCTTACCAAACCATTGGGTGAAGCTAGTCACAATGATTTGGTGTCAAATATGGGTTTGCTGCGATGTCCTCCATGTCCACCTTGAGGGGGGGATGTAGAGAATAGTTTGTTAAAATAGTTGTTAGTTGGTTACGAGTCTGTTATGGTAGTTACGGCAGTTTTAGATTGGTTACATCCCAATCCATTCCTGTATAAATATTTGCTGGTACTCCTTTCTTTAATTGAGAAGTTCTGTTTTCATCATTAAATCATCTCCTTGCTTTTCCGTTCTTCTTCTCCACGCTTCCAAGCGTTTTCAGTGCTACTCCGTATATTATTTCTAAAAAAATATTCATTTACATTTTAAATTTTGTTATACATATTTTTAATAAATTTAGTTTAGTTACATTTTTATTTAATTATTTTATAAAATAAAGTTTTTAAAGGACTGAGGATAGTGAAGGGCCACCGTGTGTCCTACACCCCACTACAAGAAAAAAATTAGATTTGCAACGAAAGCATTACAATATACGGACTACATTTTTCCATTGCAGAATTGCAACGGTAGTTTTGTTTGCAATTGAATTATATTTCACAACGGTCTTTTTTGCAAAGGAAAGTGATGATATCTGTTGCAAATTTGGCGGGAGGTTGGTGCTGGGAATTGTCTGCAACAAACATCTGCAACAGTATTCCCATTGTAGAATGGATGTTCGCAAGAGCTTATTCAACATTTATAACAGCCTAATCAGTTGCAATAAATCCGTTGTTACAGATTGTGGGGGGCTTACGGCGGGGTGGAGGTGGGGGTGCAGGGGCGGGGGGAGGGTGGGGGGTTTAGGAGGTGGGTTAGGGGGGTAGAAACCGTCAATTTTGCGAATGGAGCAACGGAGGTGCCTCAAAATACCAGTGGCACCGCTAGTGGCATCGAACTCCGGTGTCACTAGAACTCCACCGTCTCCACTTATCATGTCATAATTTTGACTACATGTATAAAAAAAATATTCCAACTTTTATGTTCTTAATTTTATAAATTTTTAACTCGGATTCAATAAATTTGAATGTAAACCATCATATTAGTTTGACTTAAATATAGTTTACTTTTTTTAGATTAGACAAATTAAAAATGAATTTAAACTGAATCCAAACTAAAAAAGAATTAAATTGATTTGAAATCTTAAAAAAATTAGAAAAAAGTAATTAAAACTAAAAAGAACATGACTACGAAATTGGTGATAAAACATATGCAGTATGTGGTAAAAATTTAATTTTTTTTAGATGAGAGAAAATTGTTGATAGCTACTCCATTTATTATGAAAAAAGGGAATGAAATATGTATAAAGAGTTTTTAATAGTACGGAGAGAATATATTTTTAAAACGGTCCGGTTCCATGGCTATTGGAATCCAGTGGCCACGGAAGCCACTGCCCCCCCTACGAAACTCCGTTTATAAAATTGATGATTCCTACCCCCCTAACCCCCCCGATAAACCCCCCGCCAAGTCCCGACCCAAACTCATCACCCCACCTACGTCAATTGCACCTCGTAAGTATAAAGTCAAAACTTTTGACTTTAAAGTCAATTATGCTTACGAGGTGCAATTGACATAGGTGGGGTGATGAGTTTGGATCGGGACTTGGCGAGGGGGTTTACCAGGGGGGTTAGGGGGTAGGAATCATCAATTTTTTTATGAACGGAGTTTCGTAGGGGGGCAGTGGCTTCCGTGGCCACTGAATTCTAGGCCATTGAACCGGGCCGTTTTTAAAATAATAAATGTTATGCCCCAAAACACAATCATAAAAATTTATTCTATTTTTTCAATTTAAAATATATGAACTGGAAATAAAATGAACTTTAAAAGAAGTTAAAAAGATAATGTATTGAAACTAGAAAAACAAAAACGAAACAAACAAAAAAAGAGACCTAGAGCAACCCATCCACGATTCCAATTACAAGCGCGCAACCAACCGCCCAACCTACGCAGATTCTTCCGTACAACCGGAGGCAATTCCAGGGGAGAAGAAACCAATTTCAAGCGGCGGCACCTCTCAGATCGGAGGTGCTGCAGCGATAAGAAATGCATGCTCATATACGGCGGCTCTCGGACCGAAGGTGCTGCAGCGATTGGATTTACAGAGCCTTAAAAAAACCCTAGATTTGATATGGATGAAGATAAATACGATGTAGCTAAGAAATGAACACTCTCTTGTTTCAGAGTGAACACAACGTTGTTCGTAACGAATAATATAATTGCAATGAATAAATATGCGAAATAGAACAATAAGTTGATTAATAATAAATACTATTCCTTCCGTCCCAAAAAGATCTTCCTGTTTTATTTTTTGTGCATCCTATAAAACACTTATACACACATCTAAAATGTCTAAAATTTACCATATTTCTCATTTACTGTGGGTAGAAGTTATTTTGAAAGTTTTTTTTGCATTTGAGACGAGATAGTAGTGTTTTATGAGATGCGCAAAAAATGTAATAGAAAGATCTTTATGGGACGGAGGGAGTATGTTGATTCAAACACTTATCGGGTGTACATACTTACTTCTATGTACATCTGATTGTATGGTAGACCGACCTTCTCCCCAACGTTTGACATGGGGCATGCACTTCCTATGACGAGTGCTTCTATATAATGGTGCACCTTGAATAGATACCATTTTTGTGAACCTTCTTACATATTTTTTTAAATTTATTAAAAAATATATGCTTATTGAAGTAATAATAAAATACTTGTTTTGATCATATGTAGGTCCATGGAGAACCTTAGGTCCACCATAAAATTTACTTTTTATGACACCTTTTGCTTGCTAATACTTCGCTTTCTAATATAAATATTAGAATTAACCTAGGGGTACACCAACATGGGGTACCCCATATGTGTACAAGGCTACAAGCCAATACAGACACACACCGATACAAAATGTCTGTGCAGCACAGACATTTTGTGTCTGTATGTATCTGTGTTGGCTTAGTGTACATATGGGGTACCCCATGTTAGTGTACTCCTAATATTGCCCTAAATATTAAACTTTACATTGAAGAATGTTTATATATTTTTATAAAATTGTTTCATTTTTTAACTTAAGCAATTGTTATCTTAGATATATTCCATCACCATCACACATTTTTGAAATAGAAAATTTACCTTATCTTTAAAAAAAAGTTACCACCTTGTGCGGCTATGCCGGCTGTGGTTCCTACGCAAACGTGAAGGAAGATTGCGAAGAAGATGAGAGGGTGAGAAAACAGAGAGAGAGAGAGAGAGAGAGAGATGAGATATGTACGAGTAGACAAATACTGAGAAACGATTAAAAAAAAGGAACATTGGACAAATACTTAAGGACAGATACATAAATTTGATCAGTTACACATAACTGAACGGTTCAATGAACTTAGCATACTTAAATATCACAACCTAGTTTTATCTAATTTCAAGATCTCAACCAACCAAACTTATTTTGTTTGAACAAAATCGACATGCACAGGAGAAAAACAACACAATCAGAGAATGTTTCCAGTAAGCAACCCTTTTACACCTTAGAATGCAATTGCTTAACCAGAATTTGCTAAGTGGGCCAAACCGACTATGAAACAATGAATCTCAGTATTCTATACTGCGTAAAGGTGTGGTGCCTCTCTTGCATATGCAAACAAATCAAATTAGTGGTTTGATGTTTGCAAACGTTGTTTGCGTATAATCTTAGTGAAAACTCAATCAAACAGACAATAAATAAAACAGTGGCCATAATCTACGCATGTGGTCACTTGGGTAACGGAACCGAGCGTAAAGCATGCAGTTTCTTTGGTTTTCGGGATTAAAAAAGAGTCAACCTTGCAAAATAGAACAATCGATGGAGCCCCCTAATTTGAATGTCAAAGCTGATGTATCACACACATCACAAGCACTCAACTCGCTGCCTTTTAACAGATATCTCATCATTCTCTTGGTTCTTGCAGTTAAAAGTCCAGCCGGGAAAATCCGACTCTGAGAACAGAGATGTCGGTGGTTCTCTGTAGAATGCCAGGGGTACCTGTTTAACCCTCCTCCTAATCTGCAGGACCACAATTTATGTTTGTTTAGCTCATTAACCTATATAACTCAGTCTCATTCTTATAGATAGGAAAAAAAAGATCCAACTGAGGTTCAATTTTGTGGATTGAGGAGAGTCCAGAAAGATTGATTACCTCATCGCCAAAAATTGTTGCATAAGACGCAGAACTGAAATCTTTGACTGCGATTTCAGTGGGTTTTGCTCTGACAGTTAAATCGTTTTCAAGGGATAAAACAAATCTGAAAGAAGCCGAAAGAAAAAAAATCAGCCAGAAGGGCAAAAGACCAATTATGTGCATTTCAAGAGCATGGATAAACAAATACCTCGAAACAGGAGGGCAGTAGTGATGACGAAGAGTATCAATCTCCCAGAGAGAACTCTCTGTTTCATGCAATTTAACAAAAAAAAGCTTTTACAAAAAGGGAAAAAAGAATGTAACTACAAAACCTAGTTGTCCATATATGGTAACAACTTCCACATGGAGTGGTTCCTTAGTCCTTAGTAACACAATATGGAGTATAAAACAGAGTAACAGACAAAGCATACTGTCTAGGGACACAACCAAATTCCAAATTTCCAGATGGATATTCTCAAGCCTTCTAGAATGTCATAAATAAGGTATATGAAAAGGGGAATGAATTGACATAGAAAGATTACTCATGGCCTTGGCTTTCAAAGGATCCTTCTCCTCCTCATCAAAATGATCAATGCTCAATGCATTAGCAGACACTTCTCTACTAGCATCTGCAGTTGCAGCACTCTCTGCCCCCGAATTTTCAATCGAAGTCTCATTAAAATCTTCCTGCAAAAGGAATATAGATACTTTGGCAACATATGTATACTTAATGATATATTTCAAAGGAAACACCGCATGAGAGCACAGGGACCATACCTGATGTACTAAGCAGTTTATTGATGGATGTCTCCTTAAAAGATTGTGAACCAAAGCAATAATAACAAGAGCTCCTGAGGGAGGAACTGAAAGCGAAAGTCTGCTTAATTTTTTGCAAAAAGCAGCTGCCAAGTAAGCAGGAAGGAGTGGCGATTTCAGGCAAGAATCGAGAAGCTGCAAGCGAAATTCTCTAGTCAAGCCCCAGAAATATAACTTGCACTTCCTATATGAATGCTTGACATGTTTAAATGGGCAAAAACTACAAACATATAAACAGTCAGAAAAACATTTTTACCTTTCTACAAAAGATTAAATAGACAGAAAACCGTTTGTGTTGAGATTTGATTTTTTGAGTAAAGAACACTCCATAGCTACAAAAGAAACTGGTGTGCCTAACTGCCTACTAAAAGTATACTCTACAGCTTAAACAGAAACTGTAACAGTCAATGACACAATCAGAGTTTCAATCATAAGCAGAAAATGAGGAATTTGCTGTAACCTGAAAGAATTTTGCCCGATGTTTAGCCATAAAAACAGAGGGCTCTAGAAGAGCATATAGCTTTTCGTAGAAGTTTGGATACTCTATACCATGTTTAGTCATGAGAATAAACAAGCTGCTAAGAGCCATAACACTGACAACCCCGCCAATATCATATGATCGTGTCAAGAAATCACTGCATGTATAAGGCAAAGGTAAAGAGTATCCATCATTCTGTCAGTGATGAAACAAAAATTATGAAATTTGTATATTCATTACCATAACATATTTGGGTTTGCCAAGGAAGGGATGACAGCCTGATGAAGGGTAACCAAAACCTGATTGCAAAACCAAAAATGTGGGATAAAGAATCAAAAGAATGTGTTTGGGCAACTGGCCATATAGTATGCAATATCATAGAGGATGTTTATAAATCCTTATATTAATGAAAAGTTTTAAAAAGACATCATTCGAGTAGAGGGGATAGCACTTTCGAACACTACATAAATAAATCGGATGTCTATCGCGTACAACTATTAATTTAAGAAACATTATTTAGCACTAATCTAGGAACACCTTTAAAAGCTTTAAAAAAACACCAAACACCTTTAAAAGAACAAAAGCTAACATTCAGAGCAGAAATAGAAATGCAAATCCTATAACAGTCCAACTATGAAAGAAACAACTATCAGTTTTACCTCTTTGTATACATCAACTGGAAGCGGCATTTTAAGGAATGATATCCATGCTTTTGTGAACTTCTGCTTCATTTTTTTAGCAACTTTCACAGAAGGCAAAACCTGAAGGCAGGAAAAACTCAACACCATATATATTACAAAACCTGAACACCAAATGTATTGGTGATGAGGGGAAAATAACTTATCTAGAACTGTACCGTATCACTGGAACTCTTAGCTTTGCCAAGCTTACTTTCTGCTTTTGAATCTAAAGTATTTTCCTTCTTATTGTTTTCCACAATAAAAGTACCTAACCAACAACAAATATAAAAAGGCAAAAAATAGTCTATATGTGTTGCATCGGAAATAGATTGAAATATACATTGCATTGTTATTTTGTTGAACATTATTGATGAAATTACCTAAACCATTCCACATTTTATATTCTGACAGTTCACGAAGCCCCTCAAATGGTTTGATACGAGACAGCATATAATACATCTTCTGAATTGATAGTTCCATGCTTCAAAACAAAAATGGACAAATCAATTGAATACACTGATAGGACAAGTTACACACACCGATAGGTCTCACTGAAACGAGAATGAAGTAATTCCGTATATTGCACACAATGAGTTAAGAAGAGTTTGATATGTGTTTATAAAGGGAAAAAAGAGGAGCAAATTGACCAAAAAAATTAGAGTCGCAGCTGCAAACAGTTAGAGTACTGCATCAGCGAGTAAACGTGGCAAAGGAGTTGTCAATTTGCTAATCTGACTTTGCATGTAGTCATGTTAACCAAAAAAACTCAGTTCATCATGTATATGAATACGAACATGATAAAAATTTTATCAGCACTCACACAAATTCACGATGACTTAAAGTGAAGATTATAGCATGCATACACATACAAACAAACATCAGCAGAGAAATTTAAATGTAACATTAGAGTCTAAATTAAAGTTCACGCCACTCAACATAAAAGGTTTTCCTACTTCATAACAAATTTAATACTACGACCAACCCAAATTTATCTACCAAGTTCCTATTTGCAAGGTCAAACCATATCTTCTTCCATTACATATTTTCACTGATGATTTGTTAAAAATTATAGTTGTCACTTCTTTTGTAGAACTTTTGATACAGTTTTTAAATACTCGCTCCGTCCAACAATTAACTTCCCACTTTGCTTTTTCGTCCGTCCAAAAATTAACTTCCCATTTCCTTTATAGGTAAAAAGTTTTGGGCCAAATGTCATAATTGCCCTTCCCTTAAATAGCAAGTTAGCAACCCAACCAAATCCATCAATCTCTTCACCCCGTTCCCTTCAAATTCACTGCCCGCCAGTCCTATCTGCCTCACACTCATGTCCACCAAATTTCAACGATAACTATTCCGGCCACCTTTTGCGTCGGAAACGTAGTCTATGTCGTGTCTCCACCGATGATGCGATTACAACAGGTTTAGGTGCACGATATGCCATCGATGTTTAACGACTTGGATTCCAAATATTAACGGATCTAGATCCCTTGAAATTGGCGGACCCGTGCGGGACGATGGAGCCAAAATATCATTAAATTTCCATCAGATCTGAATGAGGTGACAAAACGATGAGACCGGAGGAAGGAGATTGGTGTACTTGAATGGAGACTTTGTTAGATTTAAACAGATGACTCGGTCGATAACCTCAGCCCAGATGGGGTGATAGATGAAGATTTCGTCAGATTTAAACGCATGAGTTCCTGCAAATTTCATCAGCAACTTCATCCGAGTTGAGATGGATCCAAGCAGCAACATGAATTTGATGGATGGGTTTGACGGAGGTGACTGGGACGAAGGATGGAGGAACTGAGGAACAAGGAGGGAGGTGTGGTGAAATATGGCAGGGGCATTATAGTAAAGTCAATGAAAATTTACCTTTCTCTTGATTATCATGCCCGGTCAAACTGGGAAGATAATAGTTGGACAGAGGGTGTATATAAATTTTATTTTAAAAATTGGCACCGGTAATTAAATAAACTGTATTGAAAATAACCTCAATCAGACATCTTAAATTAAAACGAGAAGATGATTTTGGGATGGAGAGAGTAAATAAAAAATCATTTTCATGAATTAGATGATTCAATACTAACCTTTCTCTTGAAGAAGTTTCATCGCTTCCATGTGAGATCTTATTATCATATTCTGATGTACATAAAAAGTGAATGAGTTATCTTAAATATAAGCATAAAAAGCAGCACTAAAAGAAAAAGCAGGAAATGTAAATAGAAACATAAAACTTCAAAAAATGCTAGACAATACCAGTGATGTATTTGTCTTCTATTGTTCGGGAAAGCCTTTCCAGGCTAATGTAAGTAAAATAACTGCAAAAAATATAGAAGTTCAATAAATAAAACTAATCATAGAGAAATATAGACTAAGTGTCATACTCTCCAGTGTGCACAACTTTGAAAAAAAAGATGATGTCAAAAGGAATAAGAGAGATTAGCCAATATCACATTATAATACAAACTCTTTCAGGCTTATATGCCATCAAGAGTAAGAAAAATCAAAACAAAGTGTAAGGTACTAAAAAAGATGGGATCAATACCAAATGTCAATATAGTTGAAATACTTCTCTGCAATCAAATGCAGCAAAATATCATCTACCCCTAATGAAGAGGTGTGAACCTGCACGATAAAATACAACAATTAATGAAGGGTTTAGAAAAGGAAGGCATACCCATAGTATCCTCCAACAACACCGACACTTACAATACTATGAAGGATGCGGTGGTATATAGAAGAGTGAAATTTTCCTGAGTTCCCAACCTTCACAAACTCCAACAATGCATCCAATACAGCTTCCTAAATCCTCAAAACTCAAGAGCCATGTTAGCATTATACTATATATCTGAAGTAGTAAGGTCAGCTATGTTGATCTGATATCTACTGAATCAGTTTTATTCTCAATGACATCTGCTGCTAAGCAAACAATACAAAGTCAAAAATTGAAAAGGAACACACACAAACAGATAAATAAATGGAAAAGAAAAGTCAGTAGATGTTCCTACCCTTAGGGCTTGTTCGCACTGGGAGGAGATAGCAATGTCAATGAGAGATCGAACGAGGTCATCGAACTTGGAGCGTAGCCAAATGCGATAGATGACTTCGGGTTCTTCAGTGTCTGCAGCTGCAGTAGTTGAAGGGAGGTCAGGGATGAGAGGTAGGAAGAAAGCTTGGAGGGAAAGGAGTGATTCGAGGGCATATTGGGGAGGAGAAGTGGGGCTGATATAGGTGAGGAGGATAGGGAGGTTGTTGATGTGTGCCCTAGAAGACAGAAGTTTGTGGCCTAGGGTTTTCAGCTTCATCAATGTAGACTGAGAGGATGTGTTTTCTTTCTTCTTCTTAGATGCCATGGGTTTTGAAGGATGACTATCGGGGTTGGGAAGATAACCCACACTTTGTCTAAGTAAAATCCTTCTAGTTTCTGTACATGCAAAGAAAAACTTGTAAACATTACGCTTAGTGAATCGCTATGAGTCAACAATAAAATTTTACAATGTCACAACTCACTAATACATTATATTAGTAGGCAATAAGTCTTCTCATTATTCATTTATTCATGGAATCACCGTTAACAAATATTAGAAGTTGACATTAATTTTTACCTAACTTGTTGCTACCTTTTAAAATTAGAGTTCGTGACGCGTACCTAGTGGTGCTAATGACAGGTTAGGAGAGCGACACGCTAAACATAACAAACATACACAGACTGTTCTTATGTGAGATACTCCCTTAGTCCCAAAGAGTTAGAATTTAGTGTTTTTTGTGAAATTAAAGAGGGAAAGTGGGTAAAGCTTTTTGGAACAGAGGGAGTATAACCCGGAGTATAAGTGGCGGAGCCAGGATCAAGTGTTCAGGGGTGGGGGTAGCGCCCCTGAATTTTTATACAGTATAAAATGATGAAAAAATTATTATATTTTATCTCAAACAAAAAATTTGAATAATTAAAGCTAAAAAGTTTCACGTATAATTCTACTATCAAAATTCTTAACTTGAGCATAATTAGCATTTCAAGTGAACACAAAATAAAATTATAGAGAGTGCGGAGGCTGAGGGCCATTTAGGAACTAGAGTTTGTCCAAAAATATAAATCTATAATTCCTAATTAAATTATAAAATCACAATATTGAATGAAACCTAAACAATTTATTACAAATTCAATAAATATTAACCACGTCTTCTAAACAAAATAAAATTAAAAAAACAAACTAAAAATTTCTCAAAAAATATTTTTTTAAAGATAGAACTCGAAAAATATTTAATATTTACCGGAATAAAAATTTAAAAAGAGAACTTTTAAACAGAAAGACCTGCAGTGGAAAGAGGCACTGAGGGAAGAGCGTCGGAGACGCTTGTCGCAGGGGTAAATGAGGTCTCAGGTTGGGTGCGACGCCTGCGCGTTCGCCGGCTGGCTCTGGGTGAGTCGAAGTGAAGTCGGCGAAGCGGCTAAAGGAAAAAAAAACAATTCGGCCCGCCCTTTGGGGTTTTTAACCCTACTCCAAACGACGTAGTTTTTTTTTCTTTTTTTTTTAATGAAAAACGAGTTCAACTTTTAAAAACATAAATTAAAATTTGTGGTGTTTAGGACTCAAAGTTGTTTTTCAAAATTAAGAGTAATTAAGTTTTTGGCACATTCTATAGTGAATGTAACGTTTATCATGGATTTATATATGAACAAAATAGATATTTTCTTATTACGGGGTACTAAATAAACATTTGTTTTTTAATAAAAACTTTTTTATCTAAAAACAAACTAATTAAATTTTTTCCTAGTATTAGGACTTATTTTCTTACGAATTTCCAACCTTCCCCTTGTGTATTATTCTCTTTTTATTTTTTTGTGGAAATTTATTTTCTCATGGATCACTAGGAGATAATTACTCATTTATTAACAATCATCTTCTTTGCCAGTGGGGGGCNGGTGGGGGGTTTAGAGGGTGGGTTAGACAGGATAGGAACCGTCAATTTTACGAACGGAGCACCGAAAGTACTCCAAAATGACAGTGACACTGGAGTGTCACTGTACTCCGATGTCACAAGAACCCCACCGTTCTTTTTTACTAATTTAAGCTGATTTTACTTTAATTCTTACTTTTTCCAATTTTTGATGGACAATAATCTCATAACTTTTAAAATAGTTTTATTTACGAATCGGTATAGAAATAAAAAGCATAAATTACATATCTAATTAAAAAAATACCGTCAAAGTTCTATAAAATAAGATGCGACACATATTATATTTTTTTATGGAAACCGTTTTTTCGAGATGTCAACTTGATGGACTCGGTATCGGATCGTCACCATACCGAAGATTGAAATCTGGTAAATAAATAAATAAATAGGAGTAGGTTAATAAATAAATAAAGCGGAGATAAAGTATTTATGCGTGGAAATCCAATCGGCATAAAGCCACGGGCCCTTTTACTCGGTACCATGCCAAGGGGAGGAACTTTTATTAATTTTAGAAAAATTTACATATACATCACTATGGAAATTTAGAGCCATTGAAAGAGCTCTTAAAATCAAAGTAGAAGAAGATGAATGTGCTAGGGTCCCACTAAATACTTGATATGATGAATCGAATATTTGACCGAGAGGAAAATATATTTATGGCCCTATTAATATTGAAAATCAATATCACTTAGGATTTGGGAGAAAAAATATATTTTCGGGCCTTGCACATCATTTTATCTTGTCAAATGTCTTCTTCTGTCTCCGTCTTGAATAATTTATTTAATTTGTATCTTGGGCTGGACTGAATCATGCTTACTTGTACTATTCATATGTAAGAGATGTGGCATCTTCGAAGAAGAGATGCGTAAATAAAGAGGGCTGCATGATTTTGGTGAAAAAACAATCTGATACTTTACGAAGGAGGTCGTAATTGGAGAAGAAGAGGGCTATGTGGAAGTCGGTGAAGAAGTCAAAAATTTGAGCGAAGACGCAACTTCACAAATTGTCACATGTCAATTTTTTAGAGCTCAAACTCTCAAGTTTATATACTCCGTATAAAGAATTATATTTTATAATAAAATCTTTTTATTTAATATTGAATAGTAACGTCCATTCTGCTAATAACTTTTTATATGTAAGTCCAAACTTGACAAACAAGATGTTTTTGGTCATGTCTTCACGAGACTACCGAACAACACCTATATTGAATATGTTATTTTGTTTCTATGACATACTTGTATCTTATTCTTTTACTTTATTGCCTGTTTACTCTTGGGGTGGTCAAATCAGTGAGATTCATAACTCGGATTCACGTGCGAAATATATTGTTCAACTTTTTACTAGTTTTTAGTATAACATTAAAAAGTTGGGTTTTTACGTGCGGAATATATTGTTCACGAGTATAAATTTTACTATAAAAAATAAAGTTTAAAATAACTTATTTTTAGTACTATCGTTTCGATTTTTATCAAATTCAGATGTATATTGGAATTAAATTTTAGAAGAAATTCATTATTAAATTCTAGGCTAAATTTCGGGGCATTACAAGTTCATCTCTAAAGATAGACACTCCTTTCCCTCTTCTGTGATGAACTCAACCATGTCTTCATTTCTAGTCCCATTGTGTTGTCAAAGGAGTGTAGTCGTCTTCTCAATTAACTCTATGTTTATGTTCAAGAAGGAAGTGTCGTGTCTTGGCTAGTTTGTATTTTCTTATAAGTGGTAGTCTATAGTTGTTTCCTCCTTCATGTTCTATTACTTTAGTCAATACCTACTAGTAACTCAACCATACTTGTTTAGGGCTTCTTGAGTTAGAGCATTTTCTACTACCTATAACAACTCTACCACATTAGTTGGAGCACACTGCTCTTTTAAAGACTAAATGACTCTGAAAATCTAGGGTCCAGCACATTTAAGTGTGTGGAGTTGGTTACCTAGAGTGATGTGAAATTAATTTGTGATACATGTTGCCATAAAGTCTAAGTCTGCCCCTTGAATGTGTGGCCTTGCATTGTCTTTCTGAATGTGTATGTCTTTAGATAACTATGATAACCATTTTCCAATAGCTGAAATCACTTTATTAATTAATATATATTTTGTGACATGTTTGGTAACACTATGATTGATTTCACCTCCAACACCTCTGTTGGCCTATTTACTCTTCCTTTTCGCTTTCACTATTTCTGTGAAATGAAAAGTGTTAACTTTACCATCCCACAACACTTCTCCACTCTCCCCAATAAGTGTTCTTCCAACCACACAAGAATTTGACTTTAACTATGAATCTTTTTTATTTAGAGGTTCTGTATTGGTAACCTTCATCTAGAAGGAGGTAGAATCTCTTGGAAATTTTAGACATAAGGAACCATTTTACATCAATGTGTAAAACATTGTGAAAACTCAATTGCTTGGATGGATGGGCATACTATAGTGTTCTACTTGATCTAATAAGAACCTCAACCTTGAAATTTTATTAGCATCTGTTAGGTATAGTTTGATAGCATTAAAATGACTCCTAAACATACCTCTTTTTTTTACACACTCATGCACATTTGACTTAGGCTTGCCCATGGCAGCTGATAATACTCTTAAATTAGTCCTCTTTCGGAGGGGAGTGTCTGCGACAGTCTTTAAATCCATGACTGTCATTTTCCTGCCACTATTTCCTACCACTATGCTTCTCACATCAATGGAAACTCCATGCTTTAATTGTTTCTTTTCAATGGACCGTATGTTGCTCACTGTTTTTTCTAGATATATTAAATTTTGCAGCAAGATTGTTGATCTGCCCATAGTGAGATGAGTATCAACCATCTCGGCTTTGTTCTGAATGTGTTAATTGTGCATCACTAACAAACTGCCTTGTTGTGTAGTCAAACTTCTTGGTGTTTATGCGAGGGTTATTCATACATATGTGCACAGAACTCTAGGAAGTTGAGAGGAAAAAGGAAAATGAAGAAATCTCACTTCCAAGACAACATTCAGAAGAAGAGAAGAAAAGTGAATGAAGAAAGTGCATGTTAAAAAGGAAAGGTCTGGGGGGTTATAATTTGCAATAGTTAGCCACTTGAAAGGCTTTTAAACTGTTTTTGGCAAGTAGTTAAAATAAAGAAATAAAGGAGGGAATATGAAATTTTATTTGGGTGATTTGGTAATGTAGAAGTTGATTTGATGTAATAAACTCACAACCCTCCCCATGATTGCAAAAAATCATTTTATTCATATGTTTGTTCGGCCAACAGTTCTCCTCCTTTTCCATACTAGTTCTCTAACTCGTGCGTTGCACGGACAGTATTTTGAGTTAGTGAAAGAAAATAAAAAATAAATTTATAGTGTATAAAGGACTACACAACGAAATTGTATTCAATATAAACATTAAAAGTATTATATACTAATATTGAGGAATGCATAGTGAAAGACAAAAAAACGAAATTAAAGGTTTGAAAGACTTCCTTGTACACTATATTTCTAAATCAAAAGAAAATAAATGTTGAACAAAAATAGCATACAATAACATAATCAATTAATATGTCAAGTCAAACACAATTTGCTAGCAATATCCAATACTTTTTCTTATAATAATAATTCCATTATTTTTTCTTGAGAAATACTAAAGTCTTTGTACATAGATTATTCAGTATACACTTTGTATGAAATACATATGTACTTATCAATACTAAAACTATATTTTTAAAATCAAACTTTTTTATAGATTATCCAGCATACACTTCAAACCTCACAGAAATTTAAGTCATTAACCCAAGGGTTTCTAATACGATAAAGATAAGGAAGGGCTTCGAGTGCCTTCAAACTCCAATAGGAAATTAGGGTTTTGATTATGTGATGATGAAACAAGGAGAATACATCCCTTATTTATAGTATTGAGAAACCCTAATCCTACGCTACCCTGTCGGTTAAAAAAAAAGGCGTCAAGGGAAAGAACCGAAAAGAAAACCCTTGAAGGGACTTATAATACGTCCACCTAAGAAAATCTATTACATAAAATATTAATTTACTTCAGAACATAATCACTGTTCCATCCCGGTGTTTTCCTCCTCCGCTGCTCACGTGGTTTCCCACGTTCTTCCTGGGCCGGTTTCCTCTCTTCTTCGGCCCGTTTGGCCTTGGCTCGGCCCATCGGTGTGCTCCGCTCATCCACGCCCCCCTCTTGTGACCCATGCACCCCATGCGTAACAGTTTCACATGAGAACAAATGCTACTATTGTAACGCCCCGAAATCTGGCCCAAAAGAATTAATTAAATTGTTAGAGCAATTGATTACGGATTGGGCCCAAAAAGGGGTTAAAATTATAATTTGGATTCTAAGCCCAACTTTTATGTCATCTCGTAGGAAATATTTTTGTGATCGCGTCGGTTCAGACGGCTCGCGAATCGGAGTTATGGAGCTCATGTTATGACCATTTAATCAGGTATTTTGGGTCCGAAGCCCAATCCTTTTTGGAATGGGACCATTAAATAAACCTAAACCTAAATTTCAGCCACACGATCCTTATCTTCCTTCTTCTTTCGTTCTTCTTCTTCTTCCGTTCTTCTTCTTCTTCTTCTTCTTCTTTCTTCTTCGTCTTCAACAGCCGCGCTCATCGCCGATCGCCCTTCCCCAGCCATCATTGCCGTTGACTTGCAGCCGCCAGACGCCGTTCTTCGCCGGTCATCCCTGCCGTCCGACCTCCGCCTCCAACGCCGCTGCCTTTCCTTCGCCAGTAGCCGCCGCCATCATCGCCGTCGGGTGCAGCGCCGCCACGCCGAGCACTGGACGTCGCCTCCACTGCCGGCGTCCTTCCTCGCCGTCGAGTCCAGCGCCGCCGCGCCTCGCCACTGGACGTCATCTCCACTGCCAGCGCCGGTCGCCCTTCCCCAGCCAGTCGCCGCCGCTGTTTCCTTCGCCAGAGGTCCGCCGTCAGCATCAGCGCCGCCGACGACGGTTCACCTCGTCGTTCTGCCGGACGTCGCCTCCACTGCTGGCGTCCTTCCTCGCCGACGAATTGCAGCGCCGCCAGTCGCTGCTCATCGCCGTCGAGTTGCCGCTCCGCCACTGTCGCCGGCGTCCGTCACCGTCGCCGCATCCAGCCGCTGCCCCGAGTTTATATCGCCGGCAGATTAACCTCCACGCCGGATTGATTGGTCGATTTCGCATTTTGACTCAATTTGACCCGTTCGTTTGATTTCGTTGATTTGTCTTCCGTTCGAGCTATCGATTCGATTTCGGCGTAATTCAGGTCCGTACTATGAAGTTAATAGCGTTTAGAATAGATTTAATGGTTTGGATCATTATATATGTTTATGCTATAATTTGGCTAAATTGGTTAATTGAATTAAATTGATTATTTGAATTGAATTGTTGAGGATTGTGAATTGACTGAACAGGTTTGACTTTGACTTGGGTTAGGCCATGTTTGACTTAGGCTTTGACTGGATATTCTGTCGACGTAGGTTTGACCGAATGGTTAAATCCAAGACTTTAATGANATTAATTCTAATCGGTGATTAAGGTCAATTGGTTTATTATGTCGAACATAGAAACTGGCCATTGCTCGGGCGGCTGCAGGGCCTGGTCAGTGAGGTTAAGACGTGCGCACGAGGGTCTGTGATCTTGGGTTTGAGGCTATCGCCCGAGGGATCCTACCTCCACCGAATTGAGGCTATCTTCGGTATTACGGATTGAGGCTATCTCCGTCATAGGCATTAAATGTTAAGTGGTTTGACTTTGGTGAAAGTCTAAATTGGTTTGACCGGTGGTCAAAGAGTTAATGAGAAACCCGTAACACCTAAATCGTTTTGAAAAGAAAGAAAATAAGTTGACTGTTGGTCAACCGTCTAAAGAACCGAACGTAAAGTTGAATTGATTTTTATTAAAAGGATAAACATATGCACGATCTAATCATTGAATTATTATGTTTATTCTTGTGCTACAATGGAGTGCCACTCAGCATCAATGCTGAGCGGATAGCGTTGTTTTCCTTTTTGTTGTCCGTAGGTGATCAGACAGATGAACCTAGAGCCGATCCCAGAGGGCATTGAGGAGGAGATATACGATGGCGTGGCTGTCTCTTTAATCTGTTGATTATGCTTTATTTAATTAACTTTAATGCTTATTACGTTTTCGGGCAAGATCCCAAGTTGTTTGACTTTAAAAAGGCTTCCGCATTATTTTAAATTACTCCGATGGATTTTTATATGTATTGATAGAACGTTTGTTTAAAATTGTTTTGAAAATGTTGTATATTCGAATACCAATCCAGTGGCACACCGGTCCGCTGTCTCACGGGTTTGGGTTATGCGGGTTGGGGTGTTACAACTATACATAACTATAATTGTGTAAAGGTTATGATATATTTAATGATTTACACAACTATATTTAATGATTTACACAACTATATATTTAATGATATATACACAACTATAATTGTGTAAAGGTTATGATATATTTAATGATTTACTTATGCCCTTTCACTCAAAATATTATTTCTAAAAATGTCAAATATATTCTCTGTTGGGGTTATTTTCAAAGCGGAACATAAAAATCAAGATTTGAAAAACATTACAGGTCCAACGGTACCTGGCTACCGTGTACACGGTACTAGGGTACCGCCGGTAGCCAAGTGAACGTACCGCTATACGTTTCACTTGGGTGGTACACGATACCCCCTACCGTTGTAACGGTACCAGGGTACTGTCAGTAGGCCTGACCGTTTGACCTCAGGTACCGCCAGAGCTAATGGTTTTTCAGGGGTTACATGGTACCCCTTGCGGTAGGCTGTACCGTGGTCACAGTACGTAGGTACCGGACGGTACTACCCCTACCACGAAGGGTACCGTAACCATTGTAATCATTCTAGCTAATTGCCAATTTAAATTCAAATTACCCCAAATCACTCCCTAATGGTGTTCAACATTAAAAACTCATATTTTAACCTTCTATACTCCTATATAAACCCCCTCTCTAAGTCTCATTTATCATACAACAACATCCCAACTATATATAAAGCATATTTCTCTATTCTTGAGTGATTCTTAAAGCTTTGGTCATATTTTTCTCATTCTTTTTTAGTATAAGCTTTAATTATTTTTACACTCACACACATGGGCATTTGTTATTCATTATTTTATATCTTGTCTATAAGCTTTTGTTGTTGTTGATTTAATTTTTCGTTCTTCTCCTACCCAACTCATATTGGTTATCATTTTGGTAGAGAAGTAACAACAATCTTTTATTGATTTGTAAAAGGTGTGGATAGCCTTTAAATCCTCAGTGTAAGGTTGAAGATAGACTCTAAATCATTGGTTGTAAACGGTTGAGGTAGTCGGTATAAAATCTCATTTGCTTATTGGCAAGGTTTGTTTTCAAAACACTACTACAAAAACGACCAAATAAATCGCCCCATTTGCATCGCTTAGAGGAACAAACGATTTAAAAGGAAAAAAATTCGCGTAGCGCTTTACATTTGCATCGGTTATCCCTAAGAACTGATGCAAAAGGGGCTGTTATAGCCAGCCTCTAGTTTCTTATCCTTAAGCAATTTTTAAAAAAAACCTCCCCAAACCCTTCGCTGTATTTCCCGACGCTGTCATCATGCCTTCGTCGTCGCCTTGCTCGTCGTCACCGTTCCTCGTTCATCGTCACCATTCCTCGCTCGCCGTCGCTCCAAGCATCACCGTACCCGGCTTGCCGTCGCCATACCTCCTCGCTCTTGCATTCGCCTCAAACCTCCAAATCACGCATTGTTGCTGTCAGGTCGTTGCCATCCCCCTAGGTCGCCGTGTCTCCAACTGTAGTTGTTGGACTCTTAGTTGTGGTGTTAAAACTTAGTTTGTAAATGTTTATATTTTTTAGAATCTACAAGTAGTGATGATGCAAAGGTTTACTTTTTTGATTTAATTTGTTTAGTGACATTTGGGTTTTGTTAATGTATTTGTGCGTTGTTGTTTTGTAGTAGTAGTTGTATTGATGCGTTGAATTCTTGTTGTTGTTGAACCTGTATATTTTGCACTGAATTATGTGAAAAATTGAATATGTAATGTATTGGAAGCAAACAAAATAAACCATTTTTAAAAAAATTTATTTTGCATCGGTTATTCTCTAAAAACCGATGCAAAAGCCTCTTCCCAGAAAAGGGAAATGGTCTTTTGCATCGGTTATTACTAAAAAACCGATGCAAAAGCCTCTACCCAGAATTGGCGCCGAATCTGGGTAGAGGCTTTTGAATCGGTTATTTGGTAATAACCGTTGCAAAAGCTTATGCATTTGCATCGGTTATTACCAAATAACCGATGCAAATTCCTCTACCTAGATTCGGCACCAATTCTGGGTAGAGGCTTTTGCATCGGTTTTTATAACCAATGCAAAAAGTTACCTGAGCATTTGCATCGCTAGCTTTTGCATCGGTTAAAAACCGATTTAAAAGGGTCAAAATAACCGATTTAAAAAGTCTTTTTTGTAGTAGTGAAATCTCATTTGAGTCTTCTTAGTGAAGCCAAACAAGTTAGTGGAGGTTAAATCTTTGAGGAGAGCCTCGAGGTACTGCAGTAGGGAGTTCCCGAACCAGTATAAAATCGTTTGTGTCATATTTCTTTCTTTTATACTTTTCTTGCTCCTTTTCCGCTACTACTTTTGCGCCTAAGTTTTTATTATACTAAAAACTTTCAAACACCCTAATTCACCCCCCTCTTAGGGTGTAACCGACTTTCACCCACTGCAGACGCACACTGCCGGATCCTAGAACATCTTGAGAAGAAACATTCTCCATACTGAGCAAGAAATTTTCTAGAGATGTTCCAACAGCTGGAATACTAGTTCTTCTAACCCGCTGTCTTCTAGGAAACTTGGCTAAAGCGCCTCTTGAGCTCCCACTGCCATAAATACCTCTCACTGGCCTCCTTGAACCTTTCCTCGCTCGTTCATCCTGAGTCTGACCTAAGGCTCTATGTTTCTCTCTTGCATAGACAACCTTATTCTGCCCACGAGACTGTGAACCAGACTTTGTTTCTCTTCTGAACTGGGGCGGTCACTCCCTTAGATGGTAACTCGACCATATACAACGAACCACTCTTCCTTCCGCGGGGCATGACAAGATTTCCCTTTACAACCTTCCGCTGCCCTTTTCCGAACTTTACCTCATGTTCTTGTTCGTTCAATTGCCTCACAGAAATCAAACTTTTCTTCAAGTCTGGAACCACTATGACATCCTTCAAAGTCCAGAAACCGACTGGGGTCCTCAACACCATGTCACCCATTCCCGTCACCTCAAGAGCTCTATCGTCTGCAAGTCGACCTTTCCAAAGTCTCCAATAACCAGATTCTGCAATGCTTCACCGCTGTGGGTAGCATGAAATGAAACACCGGAATCCATGACCCAGGAATCCACGTTGCTTTCCTCACAACAAGTCAGAGTAACCTCCCCGTCACTCGCAGAGCCTTTAGAATTGTTCCCTTTATTAACATTCGGGCATTGATTCCTAAAATGCCCTACCTCCTTGCACTTCCAGGAGTCTTCGATTGACTCCTTTGTCTGTTTCTGCTCCCACTACCTCTGCTATTCCTTTTGCCTCTACCAACATGAAGCAATTCACCACATGACTCCCCTGATCTCTTTGTTCTAACATCCTCACCAAGAATGAGATCTCGAATCTAATCGAAAGTGAATCCATCGGGTCCCACTGAACCGGTAACCATTGTAACCGTTCCGGACCAACTATCAGGCAAAGACGATAGTAGTAGCAAAGCTTGAAGTTCATCATCGAACTTAATCTTCACTGACACAAGTCTGGTTAAGATCAAATTCAGCTTATTGATATGCTCGGTAACTGAAGTGCCTTCTTTAATTCTTGTGTTCACCAGCTCTCTGATCAGAAAAACTTTTTTCGCTGCAGATGGCTTCTCGTACATGTTAGACAACGCTTCTATAATTCCCTTCGCTGTCTTCTCCTTCCGAATGTTGAACGCAACATTCTTGGTCAACGAGAGACAAATCACGGACATAGCTTTTCGATCCAAACCTACCCAATCTGCGTCCAACATTTTTTCTGGCGTGTCACCCAAAACCACGTCCAAATCTTTCTGAACTAGCAAATCTTCAATTTGCATTTTCCACCAACCGAAATATGTACCATCGAACTTCTCAATTCGGAACTTCCCGTCTTTTGCCATATCACATAACTAGACAAGATACCCGGTACAACTAATTTCAGATCTTGGTAATTTTGTCAGAAAATCAAGCGAGCCCACAACACCAATTAACTTAGCCCAAAAAAATCACACGGCCCAAAAAAAATGAAGGTTGGCCACTTGAAACCCAATTTGGCCACTGCCCGGCCCACTACCCTCTTTTCTTCTTTCAGTCCAGCCAAAAGAAATGAGAAACACCCTTTTTTTGTTGTTTTCTCCTTTGGCTGCTGTATGAGTTCGGCACTCAACGGCAACGACCTTCGAGTTTCTGTCCGGCGGCACCATCATGGCGGCGGCTCTGCAGCTGTCAACAGTGGCAACAATCTGAGAAGGCGCCGCTCCTGCCGTCAACCGCGTAGGAGCAGCCGCAGATTCGTCCAGGCCCCGCCATAGAGGAGTCGTTACACTACTGGCCGTCGTCGCCGCTGAAGGAGAAGTGACTCTGTCGAGCAAGACCGTCGGAGATTCATCTAACCCCGCGCAGAGCGTCATCGTCGCCGTAGGAAGCAGAGCAACAGCGGGTAGAGATCTTAGTCATCCAGTCGCCGTCAAGGTCCCAAACTGTTGTACGTTTAATTTCTCAACAAGTGGTATCGGATCTAGGTTATTCAACACTAGCACAAAATGTGAGAAAATTTGTTATGGTTTTCGGATCTTGGTGTGCCACAGATCTGAGAAGGAGTTGCTCCCGTCGTCAACCGCGTAGGAGCAGCCGTTGATCTGTCCAGGCGCCGCCCTAGAGGAGTCGTCACACTACTGATCGTCGTCTTCGCTGAAGAAGAAGCGACTCTGTCGAGCAAGACTGCTGGAGATCCGTCTAACCCCGCGCATAGCGTCATCGTCGCTGCAGGAAGCAGAGAAAGAGCCGGTAGAGATCTTAGTCGTCCAGTCGCTATCAAGCTCCCAGAGTGTTGTGCATTTAATTTCTCAACATCTGGCGCATAATGTTCATAGGCGTCTTCTCCAGATCATGAGAGAAAATGTAAAACAATAAAGAGTTCTAAAAACCATACTACAAACTTCAGCGAAGTTGTAAAATCAAAAGAGATATAAAATGCTCACTCCAATCTCCGGTAAAAGATGAGAGTCATGACGCATGGCGACATCGCTTCGCTCATCTTCAGTCTTCTTTGTCGATTAGAGCAGCGGCAGACGACGATCTTGCTTCTTTCATCTTCGTCGGTTGAAGCAGGGCTCACACAAAGCTTTAGGATGAGATGTGGTTTGAAAATAAACCTAGGAAAGTGGTGTTTATTTAATGAAAATAGGTCCAAAGCATTCAACATTATCAAAGCCCCATCACACGCTTCTTAGTGTAAAGTCATATCATGCTTTTTACTCTTTCCCATAAACTGTTACACTTTCCCATAAGTATTTATTTAAATTATTACACTTTCCCATAAACATTTAATCTTGCCCATAAATTTTATACTTTCCCATAAAGTATTTATTTAAATTACATTTTTCCATAAATTTTAACTCTTTCTCATAAACTTATACACTTTCCCATAAAGTATTTATTTAAATTACACTTTTCCATAAACTTTAACTTTTCCCATAAACTTTTACACTTTCCCATAAAGTATTTATTTAAGTTACACTTTCCCATAAACTTTTGCTCTTTCTAAAAAACTTTTACACTTTTCTATAAAGTAATGATGTCTTTACATTGGAATACGTGAAAAGAGTGGCGAGAAAGTAATGATGTCTTTACATTGGAATACGTGAAAAGACTGGCCAAGCCGTCAAATTTCGTCTCCCAATAGGCGTGCCTCTTAAGTGCATTTGCATTGTACTTTTGGTTCGTGGCTCAATAAATCTCTTTTTTAGCTTTACTACTCCACGGGTACCAAAGAATTAAAAGCTCAACCGTAACACCCACTTCACGAATTGGACCCATTTTCTTCTTTACACATTTGGATACCCAAGAACTAACACCCAAAAATATTTCAAAAAACTTATTCCTCCACTGTTATTTATTGGTTTCATGAGTGAAACTCGAAGGCCTAAAAAAATAATTTATCACATACCTTATCATCATGAAACACAACCTCCATTGATTCAACATTTCTTCCAAAATGATTAACATGGTAGACACGTACAGCTCGTACATGGATAGCAATGTTCTTTTGGTCCCTTTAGAGGTCATCAAGATTAGTAAATAGATCCGGAAAAATGCGTTTGGGAGCCATATTGAGATGGAAATTTCGAACAGCTCTAATGGTGGAGAAATGAGAAATGGTTGAGTGGCCAAGCCGTCAAATTTCGTCTCCCAATAGGTGTGTCTTTAAGTGCATTAAATGCATTGCATTAAAAGCATAAAATTTAGTCTCCCCATGTCTTCTTTGCACATTTGGATACCCGAGATGAAAATGTTTTTTCCCAAAACATTTAGATACCCGAGAATTAATACCAAACTGTAACACCCATTTCACGAATTGGACTCATTTTCTTCTTTACACATTTGGATACCCGACCCAACTCGTTGACCCAACCCGTAGCCCATAACCTTAGGTGGAAAAAACATTGTTCATCTTTTCCCTTTACCTTTGTATGTTAATAGATTTTTAAGTAAGGGCATTTTAGTCATTTTAAGGCATTAGTCAACCACTCATAATAATGAAGATAAGTCAAACCGAGGAGATTATTTCTGGACGGTGGGAGTACTCCGTAGGACCAAAAACGATTTTAATGAGTAATGCTAAAGTCAAACAAAACACTAACAAAATGAACAAACTTGTCATTTGTCTATTTAAGTTTTTAGTATTTAATTACTTGAGGCTACTATTTGAAGCCATTAGTTTACATATTGGATAAATTTGTGCATTTTGTAAATATTTAATTTGTGACTCTAACATTACCCGTTTTAATTATTCAAGAGTGTTTTAATTGTTCACTTTTTAACATATATTCCAAACACAACTTCTGTATTATACACTTCTATTACTCCTATATTTTAATACAATTTTTTTTTGCCGGAATAATAATTTAAAGATTTAGGAGCTGAGGGTGTATTCAATTTAGATTTTAAAAATTTTTGATAGATTGTTTAGAGTCTATGAATTATGTAAAATCAATGTATTCTTTTAAGTCGACGTAGATTTAGATAGATTGTAATGTATTTCCTAAAAATTTTTTATGAGATTATCTATCATTATTTATTATTCATAGATTACTTTTCTTTTCTTTCCTTCTTCCTTTCATCCTCTAGTTCTCCGCTCTTGTTCCTTCGCTTTTTTTCTTTTTTCTTTCTTTTTTTCTTTCTTCTTTTATTTCTTCTTCTCCACCTTTCTCCCCGTATTTCTCTTCTTCTTTTTCTGTTTTCCTTCTTTTTTTTTCTTCTTTTTCTTCCTCCCCTCTCCCTTCCTTCTTCTTCTCCACCTTTCTCCCCCGTTAGATCTATCCATCTTCTTTCTTTCTTTCTTTCTTTCGTTCTTTCTTTTTCTTCCTCCTCTTCCTCCCCCTCTCTTTCTTTCTTCTTCACCTTTCTCCCCATCAGATCTATCCCTTTTTTTTCTCATATTTCTCCCGCCTGCTTCTTCTTCTCTGTCTCCATCCCCGCCGGCGCATCTCCCTCCGTCCAGGAGAATCTGCCGGCTCCTTTTTTTAGGCTCGATCCAGATCAAACAGCTACTTCAGTAGCGATGCCATCCTCCGTTCGATAGCCAAATCCATTGAAATCTTTGGATGTTGTCAAAGATTTGTTAAATAAATTTTCTTTAGAAAAATAAGTTCAAAATCCACATGTAATATAAATCTTTCAAAATCTATAAATTATTTAATATCATTAGATTTTAATAGACAAATTGAAATCTAAATTCAATAGTTTTAGATTTTAAATAACTTTTTAAAAACTAAATTGAATACCCTCAGATTTTAAATAATTTTTTAAAATCTTAGAGGGGTGTGTTCAATCAGGATTAAAAGATTTCAATAGATTGTTTAAAGTCTTTAGATTATGCAAAATCTATGGATTATTTTAAGTCCATGCAGATTTTGATAGATTTCAATATATTTTATCAGCAGGATTTTATAGGATTCTGTCTGATTGTTTATAAAATATAGATTATTTATACATAAATATGAATTGTTTTATAAATTTATACATTGTTGTAACATGAACTATTGTAATATTAGTCATTAAAAATTGTTTATGAAATAGACAATTAAAATTAATAATGATCTAATAAAATAAAAATAATTTATATTTAAAAAAATTATCATTGTCATAATATATTTATTAGAATAAAATAATACGCTGCATACTGGTCATTGTCATCATGAATAATTTTTTTTTTTGCATCTAAAATTTTTATTCTCTCTCAACTATTCTTCTTGAATGTCAAAACTCATCAATAATGAAATTTTAAAGACAACTCAAAAGAAGACATTATCCAAAATTTATAGATAATTGAAAAATAAAATTAGTAATCAATATAGTCTTCCATTTCAACTTCATTATCACCAAAACCTTCTTCATTCTCCTCATTAGCATCATTTTGTGGTCTATCACTCCACATAGCTTCAGCAATGCTATGTCTCCAAGTGTTAGCTTCTGTTTTTTTGTTGCTGTTGAGTTTGAGAAAGTATTTCAGGATTTTCTTCTTCCATGTCAAGATGTGATGAAGAAGATGACTCAAGTTTTGGTTCAGGAGGAAATTCATCAGAACGACACTCTTTACGAAGAAAGTTGTGTAGTCCTGCACAAGCTAACACTAGCTCTCCTTGTGTTTGAAATGGAAAGGGAGGTGCAGTTTTGAAAATGGTGAAACGTGATTTAAAGATACCAAATATCCTCTCAATAACATTTCTCAACGATGCATGACAAAGATTAAACAACTCATTTGCATTTCGGGGGTGACGGCCTTGACCTCCTAAATCTTTGAAATGATATCGAACACCTCGCAATGGTGCTAAAAATTATTGTCGATTAGCAAATCCACAGTCAACCAAATAATATTTTCTTGAAATAGAAATAGGATGACATATACCCATAACAAATATTTTCATAAAAAAGTAATAAATTAATGAGTAAATTCCATAATTGGTCCTTTATAACAGAGGGGTTTCCATATTTAGTCCTCTATTATCAAATATTACCCCCGTTGTCCTTTTTTTAAGGGTACCTTTCCACAAATGGTCCTTTTTTAAAGGCTAAAAGTATAATTTGACGTCAACATTATGTCTAATGACATGTTCTGATATTGGTTAAGCGGATAACATAAAAATAATGAGTATGATTGTGGGCTAGGATTTTGACAAAAGATCACATTTGTAGACTATAATTGTCGTAAAAAGCAACTGTAATTTACAAACGACGCAAACGGAACAGCCTTTAGAATTGTGTATGACAAAAAAGATATATTATCATTGTGAAATTACACTTTTAGCCCTCAAATTAACACAAACATGATAGAAGATCAAAAAAGGACTATTTGTGGAAAGGTACCAATAAAAGAAGGACCACTTGGGTAATATTTGATAATAGAAGACTAAATAGGGAAACCCCCATGTTATAAAGGACCAATTATAGAATTGACTCTTATTAATAATAAAATTAATTTACTTACCTTGAGGCACTTCAAGTCCATATCTTCTAGATAAGGCATCATTTAGCATTTTTGAATCATGTGCAGATCCTTCCCAACCACTAAGCACATACGGAGTATATGAATTCCAAATCAAATTTGCAAGCTGCTAAAACATTTTGGGATTGAATACCATGACGATTACGATAACTACTTATTTGACGATACATTTAGGATACATTTTATACAACTCTCGAAAACTTTGTGGATCTTGATTGAATACGCCCTCAAATGACTTTTAAAATCTATAAAAATCTCCTAAACTCTTGTTTGAATACACCCCTTAACATTCTTTATTTTTAGATTATCTTCACATACATAAATACATCGTATGGACTATGGAGTATAATACTCGGTAGTATATGAATGTGAATTTATTCTAATACCGATTGTTATATTTATTTATTTTAAAATTACTAGATTATTTTACAAAATAAATTTAAAAAAAAAGAAAAACGAAAACTGGCAGTATTGAAATGGAAGTGGAACAAAAGAAAACCCTCATCCAGGCAGGGGTAGTGTAGAATCGAAGCATCAGAACGGTATATTCAAAGGATACACAGCACCCTTCATATATAAAGGGTGAGGAAGGAGAAATATAGAAGAGCTTTCATTTTTTAGCTACTCCCTTGGAGCCCTTTTTTGGGCGGTGTATAGCTTTTATAAAGTTTATTTTTTAGCATTTAGCTTATGGGTTGGAGATGCTCTAAAGGAAAAAGCAGGTGAGAATATTGCAATCCGATGTTCAAGAAGCAGAATGGAGGAATTATGCCTTCAAAAGAGCTACATGAATTTCAAGGAAAAACAGGGAAAGGAAATGACATTTTAAGACATCCATCTTCCAGCTCAATCTCAAACTCGGCGCCGTGTAACTGGATATATTCTAGTAACGGAATTAATGTGGAGACACTTCTTCCCCATATTCTCGCGGGCAATCGTTTCGCAAACCCTTAACATCTCCTGGTCGCCTCTAGCAACTCCAACCCCATTGGGAGTGTCAAACTTCATGCACAAGTGATGGCTTGATATGACACCGCCCATATCACATACGCCTGGTTGGCCGAGGATGGCATTATATGCACTTTCCAAATCAACGACCACAAATTCCATTGCCATCGTTTTCACTCGTGGATGCTCTCCGATTTCAACATGGAGCAGTATCGATCCTTCTGCCTCGACTGAAGTCCCCAAGAAGTCGGCCAAATGGGGCCTGTCTAGACGCAACTGGTTCCTAGACAATCCCATCTTTGTGAAGGCGTCAAAGTACAAGACGTTGACATTACTCCCTATGTCAACCAAGACCCTCCTAACTTCAATCTTGCGAATGCTCATGCATAAACTGATGACTAACGCATCCCCATCGTGATGGTACCTTGGGAGGTCACGGTCAGTAAAAGTGATTGGTTCTCTTGGCGTAACATTAACAGTACTGGACCTATTGTGAACTCTTGGTTGGACTACATCACTTCCTTTGGTACTTTTTCGACGGGCTTTCCAAAACTCATGCTTATCACTGGCATGACAATGGTTATCTCTCGAAAAGCCATTTCCCCAGAAGCCACATGGAACCAGTGTGTCACAAACATAACAATGACACTGAAATCAAGAAAAGTGAATTTAAAATATGTGCACGTCTAACCACACATTCAAGGAAAAAACACGTAGAGGGTAATAAAAAATGAAATATGCTTCATAATAACACTTACAAGGTCACAGTGATTTTCGTGCGGAGTAGAGGCAAAAGGAAATTTAACACAAAGATGTCGAGGATGTGGATAATCTCTACAAGCAACCTAAACGAGATTTAAAAAGATCAAAGTGTCAGATAAATTTGAAGAAGATTGGATGATCCATGTATCATGTTATAACTGGTGTAGGGGGGAGAAAAAACAGTATGCAATTAGAAATCAGAGTAACAAAAGTTACTCTAGCAGTTTTGCACGTAATTACTTTGGAAAACATATAGACAGTTAATCTACACTTGATTTTCAATTGAGCAAACGACCAAGTACCCTGTTCCCAAAGCCTCAACTTATCTAAATCTAGTTTGTAAGTATAAGCATCACATTCACATAATGAGGTCATAATGCCGATAAAAGAGTAACGTCGTCAAAATAGTACAAGCATCGCATAACACTCCCTTCGTCTCCAAATGAAATTCACACCTTCAATTTTTTGTCCGTAATAAACTTCACACTCCTCTCCTTTTTTTTTTTGGTTTTTAGGAAATGATTATGTGGCTCACAACAATTCTCTCTCTTTTAACAAGTTCCAAACAAACTTCACTTTTCAAAACTTTCTTAAACCCCTAAAGTCAAACTATGAATTTCATTTGCCTAATCCAGAGTTTAAATTTCAACACATATAGGAATAGAAAAGAGGGATATCACAGTCTGTAGGTTTGAACCTAGGATAAAACACACTAGTATAGACAATTAGTATCTTCTAAAATATCATCATCTTCATCAAGATTAAGATTACAAAGAACATTAGGTAGTAGGAGGCTATTGTTCGCAGAAGAAAAAAAGCATCTAGTTGAGCAAACTTTCACAACAGTAACCATTATAAGAACCAAACTGCACATTAACATGAAAAATAAACAAGCGCCAACAAAATAATTTTTTAAAAAAAAGTAGAGCTAGAATAATTGAAGAATTGCTGGTAATAGGACTTATAAGTAGCACACCAGCACAGCCCCAATTGAAAGTTATAAAGGTAAAATGGGCCAACTGTATTCAATAGTGAGCAAGCTCGTGATGGTGAGCCCCAAATAGAATTAAGTGGATGACATAGTTGGCTTAAATGCTTAATCCACAATACAAGAAAAGAAAACCTTACAATCATTTAGGATTAACTTCACTGTATTTTTTGTATACGAAGAGCATCATTTTTTTTGTCCTGATTTCATTAATTAAATACTTGGTTGTCTGGAAACCAAACTTGCGTAAACCTAAAATGGTATTCTCCCTAGAATTCCAAGCTCGACTAAAATTTACTAATCCATACACCTGCATTTCCATTCGAATTCCAGAAAATGATGGGAAAAAAGAGAAAATTTTGAAATTTGATTTAGTTTCAGAGAGAGATATACCGGACCCTTCTCGCTAACAACAATCAGATCATCGGAGTCATAGCTCCTTTTGCCGTGCCTTGGTTTCACCGACTCGGCGGGATCTTCTTCCAACACCACGCAATCACTATCATCGCTATACATGGAGCTCTCTCTATCTTGGTAACCCTAGCTTAATTTTTGCGCCAACTCCTCACTATCATGAGCTTGCAGAGTTATTTTTTCCCAAGCCCTAGCTTCCTAATTTTCCCTCAATCTCACGTGGGGTACATAGCAAAGGAGGGAATAAAATAATGAGAATAATAATGACTAAGGGGATGTTTGTTTCAGTCTCTTAATGGTTCAGATGTTTGAATGGTTCATCACTTAATTGTTCAGACTGTTTTTTCAGCCTCTTAATGGTTCAGATATCTGAATGGTTCAGACATTTGCCTCTGAATGGTTAAGTATTATACAGAGTCTGAATGGTTAAGACCTCTTATCTGAATTGATCATACATTTGCCTCTGAATAGTTAAGCAATATACTAGCTCTTAATGGTTCAGACCTCTTACTGGTTCAGCACTTAATGATTCAGACCTCCTACTGGTTTAGCACTTACCTATTCAGAAGTTGCCAAACAGCCCCTAAGTTGTCATGAATAGTGGATGCATTAAATGACTCCACCAAAATCTTTACATTTCACACGGAAACCATAACAAAAGAGGGAAAGTTCACAAAATTTTTGTTTGGGTAAAAATTTTAAAAAGCCCTCCATATATTTCAACCTAATACTACCACTTCTCAATATAAATACACCAAAGCATTAAATGTATTCATCTCCCTAAACATGTCTTGAATGAAAATAAATGCTCCATAGAATTTGTCTGCCTTCAATCGGCATTGATGGAAGCATCAAGTCTTCCAACTTCCTCACATTTTGGAGATGCCAACGACGACTTTGCGGATGTCTCCCTGCCTCCACTGTTGGAAGTACCTTTCGAAGCTTTCAACACCCCTAAAATAAACATCTCATGAATTTCTGGTGTGCAAGCAAGAAACGAAAGAAGGCAGCGAATAATAGAGGCAATATTACAAAATTTCAAAAACGGCAAACTTCAGCATGGGTCATTGATAATGGTGTCTAATGAATTCAACATATCTCCTCGTTGGGTTGGAGAGCTATGGAAAGGTGCAAAAGCTCAAATGGAAAAGGGCCAGGTGAATGTTGATTGCAGGTGGGAAGGTAACTCGGAGAAAAAAGGTTTCAATTTGGACATTTCAAAGCTGACTGACATTCCATTACACCAGCGTCAAGATACCTCATATGGGGAAAGAAAGGTTGTCCAGGGAAGGAATACTACCACAAAACTTGGGAGTCAGTACTGAAGTGTATGAAGAGGTGCTCCACATTTCATAAGTGAACATCTAAAAGAGAAAAGGGCAGTTTTTTTGTGTACATTTTTTTTGTTTATACATGTGGTTTACAAATGCACAATATTTTTTGTTTTTTTGGTGCAAGTGTACACCACATGTATACATCTTATAATGATGTAGTACTACATGTGATATGTAAAAGCAACATTATATGACTATAAAAAGTCTTTTCTTTGCATTTGTATATTCAAAGAACTGTTAAGGGTCGAAATGCCTCAGAGAATTCACTTCCATCATTGGAATTATAGAAAGGGACTTCATATCTTAGGGACAAACTGCCTCAGAGACCACATAAGGTACCACACATTCATAATCCATCATAGGCAGTAAAGAAAGGGACCTCAACCTTTAAGGAGTTTTACTAGGTATAAATCTCAATTTGTTAGGAGAGGTTAATTTTATATAGACTCCTAGAGTTGTTGTAGTTTTTGAGGGTGACACAGAAGATGCTACAACACCATGTGACGGGATCAGTAAGGCCAGTGCGAAAATCTGAGTTCGCGATCTGCAACTTTCGGAATTATAGTCCCATTGGGAGCTAAGAATACTTCCTAGGAGTTATCTATTGATGGCCAGTTGTAGGTGTTAAGGAATCCCAAGTCTTTTGGCTACTTGGGATCAAGATTAAAGAAGTTGTATTCCAGACAAGTTCTAGTAACATGTTTCTATTAGGATTGAGTTTGGAAATGCCTATAAAAACACAGCATATCCATGGGAAGTCCTTGGAGCAATTGTGAGGGATATGCATAATATACGCTGATCTACAGCATTCCCGTCACGTCCTGGAGATTCCCTTGCGTGAAGGAAGTTGCAATCTACATGAACAAGAAGATCTTCAACGCCAAATAAATCATAACATCCGGAAGATGAACCCGAGCTGAACGAGAGAGATGTGATCCCGGTAGAGATGTGATAGTAAAAGTGAATATTTGTACAAGGTACACTTTAGAAATCTTAGATTAGAGGTTTTGTCATAATAATTCAGAGAAGTGTGTCTCATCATGTTGTTATGGACCGGTGTAACTTGAATTTAGTGATTTAGTGGATGATTATTACACAGACGTGCACCCCATAGATTATGAGAGAGTTTCTTTGAACTACGTAAAGATATTGGGTATCGTTCTTTATGCTTTTTTATATTTACAGCATCTGCCAGGGAAACATTGTAACACTCTTTGCATCATCTGTTTTTAGGTGTGCTTATGATGGAGAAGGTGTTATAGCACTCTCTTTGTCATGTCTAACTGTGACAGTGCTACAACATCTTTTTCAGGAACATAGTTAATCGATTTGTTCACATAGATTTTATTTGGAAAATTCTACTAAACCCCACAAGATTGCAGTGACTATTGATTTTTTTCAGTTACTACTCATTTTCGAATAAGAGAATATTTATTTTGTATTTTTACTCTTTTAGTATATAGTCATTATTCAAAACTTATATATAACAAAATATATGTATGTGCATTTGAAAATTATATAATTCTCATTACATTTATACATAATGTACCTATATGGGCATTACGGTATTCATTTCAACTAAAATAAAGACGAGTGGACAACAAAAAATAAAGAAATATACGAAATAAGTATTAAGTTACTCAAAAATTGATATTCATCCTAAATATATGAGAAACATTGTACATTCGGTTGTTCCATCTATATTGCCTTTATAGCATGGGAGAAAGTGAGAAGAAAACAATTAAGGATTGGAGGAATTTTTATTTTTCGAGACAAAGGCGAATCTAGGCTTTGAGTATGGGGGGCACCCGTAGCCCTCCACTTTTTTTGAAATATAATGTAAAAAATAAAAGTGTTAGTAAATTAAAAGAATGCCGCCCATGAAAAATATTGTATGCCCCTAGTCAAAACTTAAAAAAAAAGTCCAAAAGAAAAAATAAACTCTTATAATAGAATACAATGACAAAATATTTGAAATTTTGTATTTATATAAAGTTATGGCATAATTTATATTATATTATTTCAATACTTGTTTATATATAAAATTCATTTCATTTTTTGTCATTTTAAATTGCCTTTATCAAAAAAATTAGAGGTGATGTCATCTAACCTCCGCCCTACTCTTTCCAACAATGGTGCACCCCATATAAACTCCTAGATCTGCCACTTTTGCAACACACTTTTTTATAGCCATTAAGGGCCTGTTCTTTAGAGCTTGAACTCTTAACTTCCAGTTTCTTCCCGTTCTTTCCAGTTTCTTTCAATTCTTCTAGTTTTTTCCAGTTCCTTCCAGTTTCTTCAGTTTTTTTTCCAGTTTTTTCCAGTTTCTTCTAATTTCTTCCAACTATATTTATTTTCTTCAAATTCTTTCTACTTTCTGACAAATCACTCTAAAAAATATATTATTATTATTATTACAACTTTTTTTAATTACAACTTTTAAGTTCATAACTATAGTTTATAAATTATTTCATTTTTTCATCTCACTATTTTTATGATTCACATTCATTCTTCCAGTTTCTTCAACTTTTTTATATGAATAATACCATTTTTTGTATATTAATCTACATGAAAAATTAGGAAACTATTTAAAAAATTATGGATAAATAGTTATATATAATATTTTTTGATCTAAAGTTATATAAGGTAAATTACATTTAAGGGCATGGAAGAATAATATTATGAAAACCAAGAGAAAACTACATTTTGAAAAAGAAAAAAAATGACCCAAGAAGTGTAATATTTATTTTTTTCTAATTATTTCTTTAAACTAGCTTTTTATATATGAAAAATAATACTCGTAATATTTTTTTATTTTAAAGACAATAATTAAGATAACATGATAACACCACCACTACCACCACCAACAACAATAACAACAAGAATAATAATAATAATAATAATAATAATAATAATAATAATTTATAACAACAAGAATCAGAATGAGAATAGTATAAAACCACACATAAATTTTTTTTTTAAAGTTTTTTAAGATTTTTCAATTTTTTCTAGTTTTTAAGTTACTTTTAATTTTTTTCAATTTTTCCAATTTCTTCCAGTTTCTTCCAACTTCTTCTAGTTCCTTCCAGTTTCTTCTAGTTCCTTCTAGTTCCTTCCAGTTTCTTCCAGTTCTTCCAGTTCTTCCAGTTCTTCCAGTTTCTTCCAGTTCTTCCAGTTTCTTCCAGTTCTTTCCAATTCCTTCTAGTTTCTTCCAGTTCCTTCCAGTTTCTTCCAACATCCAGCTCTTTTTTTCCAGTCTTAAAGAACAGGCCCTGAGTGAAAAATAATATGCTATTTAAATTAAAAATTAGGAAATGTGTCAGGTAGTGTTTGTAAGTAACATTTCACTTCAATTCTTATATTTCATGTAACACCTCGGCCCCCACCCTACTCGTATGTGTCTGCTCATAGGATTGTATACTTAGCCCAGAAACCATGAAAAGACTTTCCCGCGCACTTTGTCCTCACTCGTGCACACCCAAGGAACTTCCCAGGGGACACCTATCCTATAACTTATCAAAGTCAAGCACGCTTAACTTAAGAGTTTCTAAGTAATGAGCTCTCAAAAAAATGCACCCTGTTGGTACGAGTAGTACTATTAATTCTTTTGAATTCTTCTCATTCTATCCTTATCACGAGCTATTACACTCACCCCCACTTAGGAATGCAACATCCTTGCATCCTTTTTTTTTCAAACCCCTAGATCTTCCCCGCTAGGTGAACTAATAAGCTCGCTTGCTTGTCACAGTTGCTGGGTTGCTCGACACCATTTGTAACATCCCAACCCTCACCTTGGCCGTAAGTGTTCACTCATAGGATTGTAAACTGTCC